ATAGCTTACAAACCTGCTCAAGCCCCAAGACTTGAGGGCTGAAACAAAGAGAAAAAGGGCACAACAAAGCCACTGGAAGCCTCCATTTCCTTCTCTAATGGGGAGAAACTATTAAGATTGTTGGATCAGAAAAACAATAATTCTTACAGAGAACATAATAATCTCACATTATTACTATTGTTTACCAACATATTATGGTAAGTACATTTTTACACTACATACATGTCTTAGAAAATTATTCCATTATGTATGAAAAAGTGTACTTTTGACATGTCTTGAGCCATTTAGAAGTTTTCCTGCTCTTAGGGAATTCAAACAACAGTCCTTTAAAGCATGCCAGAAGCATGTAAATGATAACACAGACTGAGGGAAGGTCTGAAAATGCTCATATGGAGAATTTCCTCAAAATTTTCATTAACTTTTAAAAGCAGGAGTTTGTAACTGAAAATGTGTATCTAACCTTCCAGTATTACACCATCTGATAACAAAGAAAAAGCATCAAAATGATTTCTCTCTTCAGAAAAACTATTTGAAGCATCACTGCAACAATCAGAAAGATCAGTACAATGGAATGATAATAAAGAGTAATAACTAGGGGACAACACAATAGGAAGATTCTACAAGGGAAGGACAAAAAGCACAACTTGCCCATCTCTAGATACCTAGATTCACAGTTGAAAACCCCACAAAGAGAAGATCTCCAGCAAGAGACCCTTCCCTACTACCAGTCAGCCCTTAAATGAGCTCTAAGAGAGGTGCAGCCAGGCTCCACCCCTTGCAGTCACACAGCTGAATTGCCTTCACCTGTGCTCCGAGGGCTGACCGGGTCCTTTCCCCAGGTGCTCAATCAGTGCTTCAGGCCATGACTCAACAGTTACATACTCATAAGTCACATTTATTTCCCTTAGTGAGTGGCAGGAGTCATAGACAGGATCAAGTTGAACTTGTGAGCCCTATTCCAAGTTTCATCTTGCTTTCTGTGGAGAGCCCTTCTAGACCTGCAAGCCAAGTTACAGTCTTGTGTTACCATTTTCTCTAAGATTTTCACCCACAGGTGACCAAGAAAAATCAAAACAGAGCAAAAGGGTCCCTAACATAATTTAAGAAGTAACGCTGCAGCAAACAAGGTATGAAAAGACATTTACAGGCAGAGTAATTGGCCAATAGGAAACATATCTGCAAACAGTGCTTTCCAGCTGCCTAAGCCCAGCAACTCCCACAAAATGGTTGTACATATAATCTTCAAGAAGCACTGACAAGCTATTTCTTTTGCTCAGAATAAGTTTTAAACATTCTACAACTCACATCCTCTTTACAGCCTCTTTTCTGCTCACTGTTTGCTACAAGAGATTCTCCCTTTCTCTGAGCTGCAGGAAGAGGCCGGAACTGCTGTGCAAGAGCAGATACGTTTCAGTTTGGGATATTTCTTTGATAGTAAAAGACAAGCTGAGAGCACAGACAATCCCCAGTATCCCAATGAATTAACATCAGATGACTTTGCACAGTGGCCATGATAAGCAATAATTTGAATCCAACCCATGTAGAAGGCCTAATTCTGTTCAGGCATAAATTGGAGCAACTCCACTGAAGCACATTCAATTTGCTGTAGAGATCAGCAGTGTAGCCACACAATGTGCACCAGCAAGGGACCCCAGCAAGGTATGGCAATGCGTACAGACACGCAGACTCTGCTCTCTGTAGGAAGCCTAAAGTGATGTGAGAAAATTCACCATCTCTATCACAGGGATGGCACCACCCATGGGTGACAAAATACCAGCCCAGCTTCCTCCCACAGCAGCAAGTCTCCCTGCAGAGGAAAAGCTAGGTTGTAATCAGAAGTTGTCTTGACACCACTCAGAGCTCCTGAGCTGAGACTGCTTCTCCCATGCAGCTCAAATCTGCAGCACTTCCCCCCCATGCACTGGGTGCTGCAGGTGTGCAGCCCTCAGTCAGGATGTCCCTCTGCCAGCCTGGGCCACCACAGCCCTGCTGCTCCATGCCATCTCCTGTCCAGCAGTGATGCACCCAAGGCTGAGAGTGGCTTGGCATGCTTTAAGGGACGTTGGCTATAACCCCACCAGAATAGGAACACTCTCAATGGCAGAAGACATGTCAAAAAATGCACTTTCATGTTTTGGTCTGCTCCTGCGGCTGTGGTGCAGCCTGGGTGTATCTGCAGCCCCAGGAACACTGGAGGGAGAAAAAAAAGGGACACAGAAACCAACAGTTCAAGTTTGTTGTATACAGAGCTGAATTTCTCTGCCATCCTTGCTCATTCCCTCTGGACACACATTAACTTACCAAACACAACAGGATACATTTACGTTTTGGCAAAAACTCAAAGGCAGTTGGGTTGTCACCTATGTCTGTTATGACTACAAAATATAAAAAAATTACATGTGCAATTTTCATATGTAAATCATTCCCCACATTTTATTAATCTGTTCCTAAAAATGCTGCCAAGGAAGTGGGATGTCTGCTTAAGGATAGATTCAGGGGGGGGATAAATTAATTGTTATTTGATAGAGAAATTCTCCCTTGTTTATCTAGCAGTCCTCCCCTAGCCACTGTGCACCATTAGCAGATTTAATAACTTTTAATCAGGCTATCATGTTATTGTATTTCTGCATGTACTGAAAAATGCTTAATGGGCTTTTATTTTAGAAGCAAAAAAATTCCCATTACAGCAGATTAATGCTACGAAAAAAAAAAAAAATCTATACTAATATCTCTACAATAAAGGGTATGAATTAATGGATAGATGACCCAGTTACAAAAATGTGGAGGTTTTAGAAAATTCAATACGATGTATTTTTAAACCTCACACTGTAAAGTCTTTGAATACACTTCAACAAAGAAGCCTTCTGTTATGCAAAAATGTTGTACATCCTGGCATAGAAGCACAAATTTAATTTTAATTGAAAGAAATCCTGCCATCCTCTCACCTAGGAAGCAGGCTTGTACTTTGTAATGCAGGCAGCATGCGCCTGGATGGGTGGTATCCTCTGCTGCCTGCTTGAGCTTTAGCCCAGCAGCAAGCAGAGGCTCTGCAGCTGTAGCAAAAGGCAAATGGCTCATGGTCATCACAGCCAGCATTCTTCCAGGGTAGCCGAGCCACCGGCACTGCCACCAGAAGGAAAAGCAGAAGGGGAATCACGGTTAGTGCTCAGCGCTTCCCACGGCTCCCACGGCAAAAGGAAAATCATGTGAAAAAGAGCATCACCATCCTCCCTCAGCCTTCACCCACACTACAGCTTCAAGCACAGCAGTTGTAGTTTCTGTACTGCGTGCCTATAAAAACTAAGATGAGTGCAAGTTAATCCTCAATAAGAACTAAAAAAAAATAACCAAGAAAGACTAAGAAAAATACCTCCATCACAATAAAGTATTATTGATTAAAAACTTTTCCTACTGTGTAAGTTCTGCTTGCTTATTGAACTATTCCTCCCTCCTCCTACCACCCACCTTAAGCACAGCCAGGCAGCAGTTACCATTTTCTTCATCCCATTGCTACTCCAAGTACACTCATCACTACGCCTGGGGAAGCTCTGAAATAACCATCTTCAGAGCAAGATATTTGAGATGGGAGGTGCCCAGCTCACAGCTGGGCCTTGCCATGTCTTAGCAATAACACCTCCTTACATGATACAGAGTCTCCAGCCAGTGTGTAGGTTTCTCCAGAATGAAGGATTTCTGGGGAAGATTGGAAGTAGACAGGAAAAAGAAAGCCAAGTTTTTTGAATCATTCCCTGTTTTTTTTGTCTTATCGTGCCATCACAGTGAGTCAGTAGCGCTGAGTTTTGTAGATAATTATGTGCCATCGCATCTCTTTGGTCATTACTCAGCTGAGCTTTGCTAAAATATTTAAGTAATCATTCTCTATCTCTATTAAAACAACAGATGGAATTGCCAACCTTCAATTTTATGCTGGAATTCGGGAGCAATTTATTAACAGCTTGAACTCTGTTCTCTTGAGGGTTTAACGTGATGGTTGAACCCAATTACATTACAGTCCTTTGTTCATCAAGGGACATATGTAACATGATATTAAATGTGAAAACTTGTGTCTGAATAATACAGTCTTTCTGATACAAATTGACAGAGTATACAAGCTCAGATTTAAAGCACAAACTCTTCTTAATTCTGATCCTACATCATAAAAATTTAGGACCAAACCCAGCAGATGCATGTAAAACCACAGCATATTAGTGTTGATTCATTGTTTTTCTTCATCCTATCTGATAGTCAAACCATTCTGAAATCCCAGCCATACAGTCCAGAGGCTAGACTTTGATTTCCACAGACGAGTGAACTTTTAAGTCTGTGCACTCCTCCACCTTGCATCAGTCCCAACACTAGAGCCTATGGGAGCCCCTACACACACGCACAGAACCCAGCCTATCATCTCAAGCAGTTCCAACATAGCATGGAAGACTCCCTTACACAGCAAGAAATCCTACACTTGGCTTCAGCAGCTGTGTGTTCATCATGGAATTTTAAAATCACTCCTAATAAGTTCACTTCAACTGGGTAACATCACTTCTTCTATTATGAATCTTCCCCTTCCTCCTTGCTGAATGCTACCAGCCTATCACACATGTTGCTGTGCCCCTTCCCAACCCTTCCAGTGACAGGACACCAGTCCTGTGGCAGCCCATCCACCTCCCCTCCGCTGTACCTGTGCTCCAAGTGTATTGCCACTGCCATGCTACTAACAAACAAACAACAAAAGAAAGCAATTACACAGGCCAGTGAACATCAGAAAACCAAGCAACCTCATATGCACAAAATGTCATCTGCTAAGGAAATGCTGTTTATTTTGAGATAATTATATTTTCATTCTAAGGCTGAAGTGCCTGGCTGAAACACAGCCACAGAACAGCTCCCTAGAAGCGCGGGGAGCAAAGTGCATTCTTTTTAATGTTAAACTATAATTACAGAAGCAAAGTGGTATATTGTGAAACATCCCATGCACATAAATGAGGCTGTCAGTGTACTTTGTGCACAACAGGAGGGACGAGGAAGGTGGAACTGCACCCCCTGAACTGCAGATCCCAGAGCCACAGGTAAGTGGGCCAGAAGTGGCCACAGTCCATGCAGAAAATAATCACTTTAAAAGCATAAATTGCAAGACAGATGTTTCACAGAGATTAACTGTAGTTGAAGACTACAAGAACTTGATTCTAAGCCAAGCTGGCAGCTCAGATGTGGGAACCTACAGTGCAGGTAGCCCAACATGGAGCAAGTGATCCTGCACTCAAGAGCAACAGGCTGGAACATAGCCAGTTTCCACAGCGCTTTGAAATGTCATTTCTCCTGACCAGGAAGTCCTGCTTGGATTCATATTAGTTAGGACATTTTTTACCTATCATATCTAGGGAGTAAAAGCAGAGCACACAGCTCAGTTTCTGGAAAAAAATCTAGAAAGTATCCACACTTTTTCATACCGAGAAGAGCAGGTTTTGGCTATTTTCCCCACTTATTTTTAACCTTTTAGAATAAGTTTGCTGTTTGTATCCTTCAGATTCCTGAAGACTGTCATATTTTTCAGGCACCTGTTCAGAAAGCCCAGCAACTGACCCCATCCAAACCCTTGGCACAAATGGGATTTGATTGCGTTGTTCCAAGTACCTTCATGCCGCAGAGATTCCCTTTGCCTGGAAAATGCTTGCTTAGGAAGGTTATTCCTTTCCAGTTGTATCACTGGTATGTACAAAGCCCAGACAAAACAAGAAGAAGGATATACCATTTCTCCTATTCACCCACTTGATACCATCAGTCTTTTTCTCCCGTCAAAACCCAAGCACAACAGTGCACTTTCCTAACTTAAAGGCATTTCACCTCTGAAAATACCACTCAGATGTTTTTTTTTTTTGCAATCACTTGTGCAATTTTAACTGAACTGAGACTAAGTCTTCAGCCTTACTTATTTTGCTGTGCTTTTGGTGCTCTAGTGATTTTGCACTGCCCTAACCAGCGCTGCAGTTCTAAGGCACGTAGGAAGACATTTCTGTAGGACACTTAATCTGCCACATATTATGATAATAGTCATTTACTCCTACTTAACTAATTCTATTCTGTTTTTCTAATGACAGAGAAAAAAGCAGGAAGGTCACAGATAGTTACAAACAAAATATTGTTCCTTGGTATCCATTTAAATCAAATCTCACACCTTTCCCTAGGGTATAAGGTCTTTAAACAGTTACAGGCAAGCATAGGCAGTTAGGAAGGCAAGAAAAAGGTAAGAGATGCACTCTGTGCTCCTTAAGAAAATAACAACATTCACCTTGCTATTACAGACTCTTCTTTCCTATGTTACACAGTACTATTGCTATACAAAAATATTGTTGGCTGCTGTTGGGTTTTTTTTTTCCATATACACAGCCAGCAAGAGAGCTCATGATGCATACTACCCTGGAGCACTACCCCAAGGAAAAAAATATTTCTGTATCAAGCTGGCAGTTTTCACATGAAATCCATACACCACTAGCACATATTGATCCCTCTGAGTGAGAACTAAGTGAATTTCACTGATCCAGGCAGGCAGGTGGCTTATCATCCCATCGGCAACAAGGAAGGGGAGAAAAGCTCTCTGGAGACCAGGTCTGGAGCAGGGGCTGCAGAGGTTAGGAAGACAAGGCACTGGATTAGCCAAGCTAACGGGGATTTTTGTTACTAAATGGCTCTAAGTGCTGGGGAAAAAAAAAATCTACTTTCCTTAATATACTATTGCCAGGTGTAAGCAATAAATATCTTAGTCTGTTAATGTTTACACTAACTATTTAAATCCTATGAAGAGGATTGCTTCCAGCTCTTGCCAAGCCATAACAAATGAGGGCTGAAAGGAAGCTGCTCCATGGCAGACTATGAAAGCACTGGGCTGCTACTTGGCACAGGCTGAGCAAAGAGAAGTATAGGAAAGGCTCCACAGTTATATTTCATAATTCCTTAGGCTTCAAGAGTGATACCCCTTTCTGAAGAATGCTATGTAAAAATCGATTCAATCACCATATCATCAGTGAATGCTTGAAAAAAATTAAACGCAACCGTTCTCAAGATAAGAAACTCCTCAAGATAAGAAAGCACAGAGATTATTGGAAGGGTTGTAGGAGCAAAGGCACCCTGGCAGGTCCAGGAGCAGCTGCCCCACACTGGGAAGGAGCAGCAAGAGGTGCTGCTCGGTTGGGTACTGCACGGGCTTGTGCCATCTGCAGGCAGCAGCAGCAGCTCACATGGAAGAGCTGACTTGTTTCATGCTTCTTCCAACCTTTTTCCTTCCCAATTCCAGCAGAGATTGAGGGTTTCAAGAAAGGTAACCAAGAAGCATTAAGGGGAAGACAATCTTATAAGGTGGAAGCCCATTAGAAAAGACCTAACTCCACACAATCAGCAGGAAGATCTCAGAAGTGCTCAAGTGTGAACAAACTGCTACCACACCTCAACCTACTGCTGGAGGCAACAGCTGAGAAGCAAGAGATTTTAGGTGTGATAGAACAGTCCTGCCTGTTTCTGCAGAGCTTAAAGGGCTCAACAGATAAATGTACACTCTCATAGGCTCCAAGAAGGTGGCTTCAGCCAACAGATACCAGGTTACATGGATTATATCTCTGATGTATGTACCACTAAATGATATTCCCAGCTTGGCAGAAGTCAGTGCTGTCAGAATTACCCTATCTGATAAGCACAATTGTATCATTTTATTTGTCTGCATATTAAACAGATTTATGTTACTTTAGGCTGTGGTTTAGGAAAATAAGAAATTTGACACTAGTTTGAAGCAGACTGAATTAGGTTTTTACTAGGTTACTTTTTTTTTTTTTTTTTTTTTTTTTCTTATTTTTGTCCTAGAAATTTTCCTAGATACCTATGAAGTACTGCATCTCTTCCTTCCTTCCTTCCTTCCTTCCTTCCTTCCTTCCTTCCTTCCTTCCTTCCTTCCTTCCTTCCTTCCTTCCTTCCT